CCGCCACCCCCTTATTTGGGGGAAAAATAAACGCTGAGGGGAAAAAAGCCGGCAGGTTAACACAGACAAAAACGGCCACCACCTTAGCTAAAGGTCTTGATCTGCCACTGCCAATAACCTACAAACATTGATCTTAACTATTCAAAACTCCATCAATTAAAGAGAAACAGCTATTGCATAGTTAAGCGTTCTTTTAAATAGAGATTTACAAGCGCACGTTTGTCTGTGACCCTCATTGTCCTTCCTATATGTTACATCTCGAGACTCAAATTTAGGCTTATATCACCAACCAATAAACAAACAAACAATTAACACGTGTGCCCTGGCTCTCTGCTTCTAATAGGAGTAGCTAGTCGGGATCTCCGTAAAAAAAGTCAAAAATATTAATCTTAATGAAGAAATGAAATCATTCATAGTCATTGCATCTTTTTTCTTGGTCAGTTATTCATAAATGCTTTTTATGATTTTCTGGGCATTCTGAAGAAAAAGGTGCTGAAAAGTTCAGTAAGCTACGAGCTTACAGTTAACAATTTGATATATGCTCTGAGTGTGATGGCATCATTCCTCTCTCAGAATAAATATAAATTTCTTTAGTACTATTTTTTTTTTCTGTGTTGTGTGTGTGTTTGTTTTTCTCTGTGTCGCTTTTTGTTCCCTCTCCGTATGAAAACTCTCTTTACCGAGATAAGAAGTTAAAATAGGTTCAGGATTTTTTTAACCCTACTGAAAAAAAAGAAAGGTTAATGAACGCTATTTTAGCTTCACACGCGACATCATAAGTTACAGAATATAAATTTTCTCGCCGAGAACATTTCGTGCAACATACCAACAAGGAAGTATTGCTTTTTTAATAGGTAGCATCTGTTTGGTTTGCAGTCAAAAGCACAGTCGGGATGGCAACTAAAAATTTACTTATTTGAACTAAGGAAAGACTCTGAGCATGCGCAAGAGAAGAATCTATCATAATCTGAAAAGGTGCCCTCCTACTTTCCCTCTCATCATTCCTATCTCACCCATGCCTCCCAATGAGTGAACTGTTGCGATTAACTCCTCACCATCCCCGTGACTGTTTCAATTCTAACCATTAGAATGGTTTTAAAGCGATGAGTACTTCAAATCTATTAAGAGATGATATCAGTTTCCTAACTTATAACCAAATGATAACTATCCTCTTCTTCATTTAAACGTATTTGCAATGTATTGTTAGGCTTACTGTGATATCACGGCAAGTCTTAAGGGATGGACTCTTATAGTTCGATTCTCTAACAGTGACTGCAAGAACTGGATGCGTAACGATGGCAACTGGTGGTATGACCAACAAGCTGCTATTGGAACAACTAACAACCCTTCAGAGAACAACGATATGATCTCACCAGCCTTTCGGTAGCTTAGCGGCAGA